GAGTGTCGTCCTGTACACCAAAGAGTTGTGGATCAATTCCCAGTCAAGGCACATACTTAGGTTGCGGGTTTGATCCCTAGTCAGGGCATGTATGTTTCTCTCTCTCTCTCCCCCATCTCCTCTCTCTAAAATCAATAAACATATCCTTGGGTAAGGATTTAAAAAAAAAAAAACTTTGACAGGAACATATTCATAACAGTACTATTGCCAGTAGCCCAAACATGGAAACAACCCAAATGTTCCATCAATAGATGAATGGATAAACAAAAAAATGGTTTATCCATACAATGGACTATCATCCAGCTATAAAAAGGAACGAGGTACTGGTTCATGCTATAGAACAGGTGAACCTTGAAAACATCATGCTATGTGAAAAAGAGCCAGTCACAAAAGGTCATATAGTGTGCGACTCAGTTACATGAAATGTCTCAAATAAAGAAATCCACAGACAGAAGGGTTGTCAGAAGTCAGGGGAAGGGAGAGTAAGAAGTGATTGCTAATGGATATAGTTTGTCTTTGGACGGTAATGACAACACTCTGGAATTACACAGTGGGGATGGGTACACAATCTTGTGAATACACTAAAAATTCATGAACTGTACATTTCATAAGAGTGGATTTTATGGTATGTGAATTGTATCTTAATAAAGCTATTTTTAAAAATGAAATTAAAAATTACTGTTTAAGATCCACAAATTAATTTCATGGACTAGAAAATTAGATGATCTCTATGGTGGCTTCTGGTTCCTACAAAAGTTAAATTTTAGTCAAATCTACATTGTGCCAAATGTCTATTAACATTTTCCCCCTTGGTCCTCAAAAGAATCCTAAAACTGAGGCTCAGAAAAGTAAATTCCCCAAGGTTAACAGCAATTAAGTTTAGATAAAAAGTAAATTCTACATCTGATTCCAGACATCCCCTGAACTTTCCAATATACGAAGACGTCATGCATTTCTGAACATAACAATGCAAGTCTTTGAAAGAGGGAGAAAATTAAAATGTATTATTACTTATTAGGTGAAATTAAGTTTTGATCCATCATGTCAAAGACTGAATGGTGTAGCAATTAATCAATTTTCAGTAGAATTAAGCGTATTTAACAACCAAGCACTACATGACTATAGTTATATTCTAGTGAATCTTTTAAATCTTTATTTTAGGTTTGCTCTAATTTTGGCAATCTTAACAAAAGAGAAAGATTTCAAATGGTCCAAACATTTTACACATTAAAACTAATACCAATAGATCTAATTATTTCACTTCCAGAAGAATAAAAAATCTCTCAAAGAATGGCTAATAAAGTATGAAAATATCTACAGTATCTATAGCAGTTGAGCATAAATTTAATGATGAGAATAATTAATTCCTCAGAAGTAGGCTGACCTCAAGGTTTACTGCCACTGGGATTTTGTTTATGGCTTTAAAAGAACTTTATGTTAAAGCCAATATTAAAAGAAGTTCATCACAACCCAACAATATTTCGGACTACGCCATGGTCAATCAAAAGTCAAATGTTGCCAGAAATAAATGTGAAAGAGATATTTTACCTTACAACTTCAAATACAAAAGTACTTTTGACTTAAAAGAGCGAATATTCAGAGCTATCTAGCAAAGAAAAATATGTAGACACTAATTAAGATTGAAACATGCTATTATTAATATTATAAAAATATTTTATTCATAGATTTCATCTCCTTGGTGTGTCTTTTTAAAATCTTTCTTCACATTAATAGCATGTTCTTATGGTAGAAATAAGAAAGCTCCGATCACAAATTTCAGGAGTTTCCTTATTAGCTGATAGCTCACCAAGCGTGTGTGTGGTGGTTGAGTGTGCCTTGCCTAAGCTCTTTTCAGAGATGCAACAATCATATAGTTACATGAAGGACAGACCGCAGTGTTTCTGAGTTTATTTCCTTTAAATATTCTGTCTACTGTATTTACTTGTCCACAACTGTGGTCCGAAATTGCTTATCTGTGAATACAAAAACCAAAGCAGTGAAATCTACAATCTAGACATAGGTGAAAATGATTCTGCTCTACCTCATCCCATTTTAACCTGCATTCTGTTCTTTTCTCAGGATTTATCTTACAAGATAGTTTGCTTTGCTTATGAATGAAACTAGACAATGATATTTTATTTGTAGCCAAGTTTTTAATTACTCATGCTAATTTTAAGGAAAGCCTAATATATAAAACTTTATTATAATTTATAATACTAATATTAATTACTCATTTGGAATTAGTTCAAAAATATTTCAAGTATATCAAAATTGTTTATACTTTATAATACTATTATTATTTATTTGAATTAAGTTCCCACATCACTATTTTCTAATTCCCAATAAGGTTCTGAGTGCTTTTAAACAAGAAAATTCAATTTATTCCTTTTGAATATTTTCTATCAACTCCATCCCTAACCTTTTCTTTTTAACTTTGGTGATTGATACATTTATTTAACAAATTTACCAAAGAGTTTACTCTGTGAGAAATGCTATATATTCCAAGTGTGCTAGCAAATTATACCCACTTACTTTACGCACATTTCTATAGTCTGAAAATTCAAGGCAAACTCATACTCATTAGGATAGCCATTATCAGTGCATTATGGTGGAGACGTAAAATGGAGCATCTGCTTTGGAAAACAGTAAGATGGTTCTTCCATCCCTGCACTTCTGTTACTACACCGTGCCAAATTTATAAATACTTTCATTAAAAAACAACACCCCCAACCAGTTAAAAGTATCTAAACTTTCCAGTCACACTGTCAGTTCTTGAAAGAATTATTTTCTCTACTCACAGATAAATCATGATGTATCTATCATCTGGAAATTGAAGGCTCCCTCTGAAAGAAATAAATCAGCTGCCCCATCCTTTCCTCATTTAAAACAAGGTTGCTGTTTCTGGCTGTAAAAAGGGCTAAGAAGTAGTCTCCCGGCATGTGTGCATTAATTAAAACATTGGCAGGGAGACACATAGGACTTTAAGGGAGTACTTCTGTGAGAGTATGATGTGTTAGCAAATTATGAACAGGAAAAAAAATGTGTGTTACAAAGCTCTTAAACTTTATTTTAAAATAAAAACTTAAAAATGAGTATATCCAAACACTAAAAGCTTTGACCAACAATAACAATGTTTTAACCTACACTAACTTTTCATGTTTCCTACAATTAACACCATTTGTGTTGAGTGTATTAACATTAAATCTACCACTTATTTCTCAACATATTAATTAATATTCTCCTATCCAAAACATGAATTACAGTACCTGGTACATTTCAAATTACTTTAAAATAAAATATGTAAGACAGCCTTAAGTTCAAGGATTGCACAAAAGTATTTTTACAAACTCCCTTGAACTGCAAATTAGCCACCAACATACAAACAGAAAGAGAAAAAAAGCAAAAAAGAATTAAGAGAAATGGTCTCCAGTTTTCTTGCTTAGGCGAATAAATAAATTCTTTAAGTGAATCTGGCTTAAGCTCTATTTGTTCCTTTACTGAGATTACTTGAATATTACCTATTAGATAGACATTTATGCCTCATCTAAGTAAAGCAAATGGACTAACACATTAACCTTAAGGTAATTTAAACAGAAAAACAGAAGAATCTTCCAGGCTTGGGCTAGATATAGTACAATGTAAACTTTTTCCAAGTCATGGAGAATATTGACAGAATATTTTAACTTTAAAAAATGGGCTTGTAAGACATGAAAACTAGTAAGAGGTAATCAGGAATGAAATATGTTTACTCTAACAAAACTCTCACAGAAAAAAAGAGCATAAAATTCCTTCAGATAAATGTATTAGAAAATACGCAATCTTTCTGCTTTCACTGTAACATCTGAAGGCATTTAGCAGATTTCACTATCACAGAATATGTCAATGATTTCTTCAAACACTAGAGAGGCATGCACATTGGTTTCTGTCAAGAAATGTGAATCCTTAATAGATTTACAGCAAAGGAAAGCAGCAGATGATGTGATGTAGTAGAAACTGTTCAAGATTTAGAATATAGAGACTTGGTGAGGAGCATATCTAGTATGTAAGTGCCTTTGGGCAAACCAGAAAAAGGTAGTCCTCCTTTTCTTGGTAGCCTGAGCCCTGGTCCTGGTGAGTGAAGAACAGGTAGGATGCTGGTCTCCACTCAAACCCCCTTTGCTCTCTGCAGTAACCAACTACATATCCAGAACAGGGAAATTTAAGTTTGGCTCTACCGCTTACAAGCTTGGAGTCTTAACAAGTGATTTAACTGAGGTTTGATTTCTTTATCTCTAAAATGGCGATTACAAAGCCCTGTTAACAGGACTACTGTGGATATGAGAGAGAATGGTTATTTGCTGTAACATTTAAAGGAACACAAATTACCTTACACTCTTAACACTAGTTCAGTGACGACTCTTATGTGTGTGCAGGAACAAAGGGCAATAACTTCAATAATCAAATATTCTAAGCTTGGAAATTTACTCTTGACATCGATTTCTATTGTAGATTCATAATGCATATTAGCAGTCTAAAGACTCTAAGAAGTCCTGAAATTAGCTGTTTAACGTATTTAACACATTGTTCTCAAAATTTGTTTGATCATAGAACATTTTTTTGTTTGTATCAAAATCTCACAGTACTATTTCCCCCTGCCCCACCACAGAAGGATATTAGGAATAGATAGTATAGGGATTTTTGAGCCATGTTTAATGTGTAAGATGCCATATAAACATCAGTTCTTCTTAATGATATTAATTAAAATCCAATAAATTTTAAGTTACAGATACTAATTTTACTATTTTACAAACTTTAATGAAATCAGAAATTCAAAATCTGAAAATGTTTTGGAGTAATTTTGACATAAAAGTTTGAATTTGAAATAAAAGGTGAATTTCAAGGCTTTAAATTTAAATTTCAAGAATTTTACATTCTTTTATACTCCTCTGCCTTCCTATACACATTTATGTTAAGAGAAACAAAAGCAAAACATTTTCTATTATTCTGTTGTTTTTACTTACCTAATATTTTCACAGCATAATGAGGACTTTCTAAGACAATTCCTTCTTCTGTATCAAATATAGGGTTATCTATTCCAGTCTTTGGAGGAATTTGGGCTAGTTTCTTAAGTCTCATGGAAGAATTAAGGTCAAGTTCTTGCTTTTTCCCTTCTTCCTCTCGCCTACGCCTCATGTCCTCCTGTTGTTGCCGAATACGCTCCAACTGTGCACTCCGACGTACAGGCATCATCCTGGAGCCCAAATCTCCAGGGCAGTCAACAGCCATCTCTCGGTGCTTCTGATGTTCCTCTGGTGATGCAAGATCAACATTTTTTACTTCGTTGTCTGATTCCTCAGTAACATGCCCATTCATATGGGATGTTGTCATGGTTATCTATAAAAACCTGTACCACTTTTTATATATCAATTTTTCCTATAAAGCCAATCTCTTGATTCTGTAGTATAAAATCCATGTTACTTCAAAAAAAAAACCACAAAAAAACAACTTCTCCCATCACATAATAATGCTATGAAAATGTATCCATGAAGGAAATCTAAGAGGAAAGATGGGGGGGAAAAAGTGTAAGAATTACAATATAAAAGACTTTATATAACCCACTTCTAATCCCTATACAATATAGAAAATATCCGCATAATACTAGATTAAGTACTTTCTGTTGCTCTATAAAGTCCTTTCCTTTCATTTTATAATGTTGAGAAAAATCAATGTGTCCCTCCGCCCCCCCCAAGAATTTGAAGGACACTGTCATTTTACAGCTGAGAAAAATGATATATTGGAAGGTTTCACAAAATTGGAAAGTAAGAAAGTTTTGGGTGCTAGTTTAGTAGAGAATAGGTTGCTTAAGGAATAAAGATGTTTTAATCATTTTTGTATAGCTGTCTCAACACTGTACTTTCTATGTATACTTTAATACACATGAGATTAAAATAACTTCGTGGTTAATTGCTAAAGAAATGGGGAGATAGATAGCATGTCATGTTGGTGGCTCAAATGAGGTAAAGGTAGTATTCTGGGGGATTCACTTTTAGCAGTTTATAAAATGAGGAAAATACCTGAAGAAAAAGAAACTTTGATTAGCAGCTAAGGCATCTATAGGATAAAACCACATTCAGTGAGAAAAAGCCTATGTCGGTTATCAATGTGTATAACTTGGTCACCTTAACAAAAGAATTAGGGTTAATTCTTTATGAAGAGTCATTCAGAGAAAATGGTACCTGTAACCACTGAAAAACAATTTAAAGCCGTTCTATATAGAAAATAAGAACATACTGGACTCAGGGGCCAGAAACCTGAATTTTAATTCTGGCTCTGACACTTCCTCTACCTTTATGATCTAAGACTAGTTGGTTTCTATCTCTGAACCTCAGATTCCTTTGGAAAATTTATTCACAGGTTTGTTCTGAGTTTGATTTACTTATTTTTGTTCTGAGTTTGATTTACTTATTTTTGTTCTGAGTTTTAAATGAGAAAATGTATGCAAGTTTTAAAATGAAAAAATATATACTTATATTAATTCTTCATATTAAGTTGATTCTTTTAAAAATCCTTCAATATATTTTAGACAATAAAAATATTTCGCTTCATGACACTGGCTTTTCATCAAGCCACTTCTTGAGCATAAAAAGGCAGATTGTTTATGTATGTGAAAACCCACACATTAAATCTAATTAGTTGTCTTTTGCTCAAGACTTTAAAAATATTTACAATAATAAACCTACTACCTCCTTGAGTTGAACGTCATTTCAGTAAACAGGTTTGTTAGAGCACATGCCTACTAAGCAAAAGCTGAGTTTTTAGACAAAATTCCAAATGCGAGCCAGTCTTCTCTCAAACATCTTGTCACAGACTGCATAACACAAACCCACCTAAACTACCGGGAAAACCACTAGACCAACAGAAAAACAGACACAGGCTACATGAGCCACTAGAATTACATTTCACAAGAATTTTGGGAGATTTTTCTGTTTTTTATCCAAATTTTAGCTTCTTTATAAATAATCAAGTGATCTACACATAAATACCTTATTTATAATTAGACTGCTTTCTTTTTCATTAAAACAACAGCTATCAGAATTACACTGGGAAATTCTTAATTTATGTAAATATAAATTCAGCTTATTTGATATTTTCATTACAAGTAAGCAGGAATTTGTTTGAGTTACTTGTAGTTCTGTGTTTAATTTTAAAAACTTAGGAACATACATATTTCCTGAAAATTAAAACTCTCAACTTTCTCTATTTACAGTATTTACTGAATATTAAAAATCAAATTTAAGAGTAATGTATTTTTTACTTTATATGACAGTTTACAAAAATTATCTGAAATTAAAATTGTCAGCTTGAAAAATGTAAGACTAGGTCCATATTCACTTAAAGACTACAGCCACATTCACATGTCAGTTTAAAAACTGTAAGGCTTGTCCACATTCACTATGCTAGATCATGTAATAAGAGACTGGGCCAGGTGACCCGGGAAGAGTTCTCACGCTTATCTATCTGGATCCAGCCCTTCGACTCCCAGAAAAATTTCTGCAACCTGATATTAACTTTCTTAAAATTCCATTTTAGTCATCTCCCTTGGAGTGTTCATCGTCTAGGGGAGAGGCAGGAAAGAAAAGAAATGACTCCTCTTCCCCAGTTGGTTTCTCCTCATTACTTTCTAAACTTGTTCAAGACAGGCGTCATGTCTTATTTTTATATCTCCCAGTGCTTAACAATATAAATGTAACATAGAAAATGTACAATAAATATTTGTTCAACTAAACTCAGAAATGTCCTAGGTTCACAGAGGATGCACAGATAAAGGACTCCAAAACTTAGTCTGTGGTAAGGAATCACGGCAAAAACTCAAAAGGTAAGGATGTATTTGAGAGCCATTTCAAAGAACTAAATATTAGCCAGATAGAGGAGATTGTTTTAGGCAGGGGAAATCGCAAGACCAACAGGAAGAGGATGAAAGTATGGTACTTTCAAAAACGAGGAGAGAATGCAGTAAGGCTGAATGGGACAATGGGAGCATGTCATACATGAATAATGATAAAACTGGGAAAGCAAGCAGGGGTCCAGACTGAGAAAAGTTTCAGAGCTAAAGACTTTGACCTTTATCCTGAAAGTAGTGAAACTTATTACAGGAATTAAAGCAAGGGATGGCATAATCACATTCACTTTTAGAGAAATATCACTCTGGTGGAAGTGTAGAGGGTTGACTAAAGGGCGGCAATGAGACCAGTTTGAAGGAAACTGTAAGAAATAGTCCTAAACTAAGTGAAATTAAGGAAAATTACATTAAAGAAATATGTAAGTTATAGAAGTACTAGACCTTGGTGTCTTTCATATAGCAGAGCAAGAGGAAGAAAATGAAGAAAGAAATAGTAATAGTAGTAACTATAACATTTATTGAGCCCTTACTGCTGCACAATATTGCAAGCACTATACAGTATTAATTCATTTAATCCTCATTACAATTGTAAAAGTAAGTACAAACATGCCTGTTTTGTAGATGAGGAATAAGGATTAAAGTAGGCACTGACGACAGGATGGAGGAATAAGGAAGAGGACGTATGAGCCAAAGGCAGGAACATAAAAGATGTAGGAAAAATATTAATAAGGCTAGTTGAACTAAAGCCATCAGCTTGTGTACAACAGGATAGTGGCTAGAAACTGACTGGGTTCAGTTTAAGAACAATTGTCTTCAATATACGTCCTTAATACTCAAGACAGTAGAAAAACCATCGAAGATTTAGAAAAGAGGAATGATTTACACATAACTTTAATTGAGCGTTCACCCTGGCTAGGTACTGTGATTATAGAGACAGGATCCCTGCCTATTAGTCTACCTACCAAAATGTCCTACATTAATTCAGAAATTGATGTATCCAGAATTAAACTCATATTTCCCTGTAATCCTCTCCTCCATTTCCTCCATTCTCAATTCTAATTAATGCCACTATACCCACCTAGTTACCCAAGACAGCAGAATGCTTAGGAGAACAGGCTCCAGAATCAGGCTGACTAAAATCTAATCCTTGACTACTCACCTTTTAAGTCTCAGCTCAAATACATCCTCCTCTGGATTTCCACGAGTCCCCAAATTGGATATGTAACTCTTCTGGAATCCCACAATCCCTGTCACATCTCTGATCAAACTGGACTGCAACTATTTGTATCTCTGTCTGCCCATCACACTAGAAGCCCTCAGAGATCAGAAAACAAGCTAACTCGTCTATTGATCTGTGGTCCTCATCTATTGCTCAGCAGAGGGCCAAGGAAACAGGGGGCTTCAGGACATCCCCAGACATTGTGACTACAAGGCCACTATCTTTGGGTCACCAGGTGGATGGCAATGTCATTAACTAAGATTGAGAATACAGGAGAGGGAGAATTAGAAGGGGTAAGAAATCAAAGGGTCATATGGGTTTAGTTTGGATACTAATTGCACAGTGACTCTAGATCCCATAGGTAAATGATCTAATTAGCAGGGATCTGTCTTAATCATTTCTAGAACCCTGGTATCTAGTAAGAGATAAATGCTTAAGTAAGTTTGTGAACAAATCACAATTGTTCAGAACCTCTGATAGCTTTCATATTGCCTACAAAATAGAGTTTGAACTCACAAGATAAACCCCAGCTTTCTAACTGTATCTTTTACTACTTTCCTGCACAAGCCTTCTAAGTCTGCTTCCTCATCTGTGCCTATCCCATATCTTTTTTCCTTCCTGCCTAAATGCCTTATGAACTACAAAATAGGAACTGCTTCTCCTTTCCTCTTCTTCAAGATCTTCTACAAATCTTCATTCCTTCAATACGTTTTCCGAGACCACCTTGGTTGTAATCTCACCATCCAACACTTGACACATAATGCTGACAAGTTAATGAAGGCCATGAAAGATTCAAAAAGGTTCTTCCAGAATCAGAAACATTATGCTGTGTGCTATAATTTCAGAACTAAGATCATTACAATGTTTAAAGAGGCAAATGATGAATACTCTAGCTTACATATGTAGTCAATACATATCAATAAACAGTGAAAGAGTCCCAGTCCAAATGAATTATGTTTTCCCTCTCCAAAAGAAAGGAAGGAAGAAGGAAGGAAAGAAAGAAATACCTTTGTTTGACAATTCAGAAGCTGGTAATGACTGAACTAGAGAATTAGAAATACCTCCTTTTATGTAAACAAGAGACCACCTTATGCAGACAACAGTTACAAGTTTCTAGCCCTAAGAGTGTTCCTCTTCTCTGCCCTGACTGGTGTGGCTCAGTGGATTGAGCGCTGGTCTGCAAACTGAAAGGTCATGGTGTCCCACTCCCAGTCAGGGCACAGGTCTGGGTTGCAGGCCAGATCCTTGGTTGGGGATGTGCAAGAGGCAATCCCACATTGATGTCTCTCACTCTCTCTAAAAATAAATAAAATCTTAAAAAAAAAAAAAAATCCCTCTTTTATAAATCCTCTAAACAGCACATTTTTAAAATGCCTTAAAAGCCCACATTTCAAATCCTCATCAGAGTCCCAGCTCACACCCCTCCTTCTTTGGTGGTAGAAAAACTAAAGAAAATTTTTTTAAAAATCAATCAATCAATCATTCGATCAATCAATCAAGTCTTTACATAGTCCACAAAGCAAGAAAATGAATTTTCAGGTTGGCAGGCCAAAGCTGCTTCAATGTTAACTTCAAACTAGTGGAAGAAAGGGCTTTGCCTATGTGAATTGGCTATAGGAAAAGGGGGGTAAAAAGATGCCAAATAAGCGTCAATAAATACAAATGATTAAAACCAGGGAGTGTGAAATAGCATGAGAAGAGTTACCCACTGAAAAATCGACACCAAGAAATAGAACCATTTGTGTGAAAGCTGGAAAACATGGCAGGCTAGCAGGAAGAAAATTTCCTATATAATCAGTATCCTAATTTTTAGGCAGTGGAAAATGTAAAATATACACTTCATATGCATAACCATGGTTGGTTGACCCCAGTGTCCAGAATTCTAGATTTTTTTTCTATTTATCCTTCCTCCCCTTCTCCCACAAGTAATGCCCTTTGACCAGCAGCTGGGAAGTCTCATTAAGTGATCAGCATTCCTCTGACATTCTAAGAAGCTGGACTATTTGTTTCCATAGAAACAGCTTTTTCAGCTAACACAAGATTGAGGCCAAGAATAGTGAAAAGAACTTACATTATGCAAATTGAAAAACCTTGTCTACTATTCTCATAGTTTCTCTTCTCTGGTTTTTCACAGAACTCAGGCTAACTTTCTTACTCTGTAAAACAGAAAAGAGACAATTAAGTATAAAAGCCTGCAGTGTTTTTTAGAGGGAGGGAGTGGGTGGGAGGAAAAAGTTAATTCAATGATATCCAATTCTGTTTGCAGATGGCTAGGATTTCTTAGTATAAAGTAGTAACAATGCACCCCCTCCCAAACTCTAATGGACATATACTAAAATCGGTATAAATTACCTGAAATTAGTGATGAGAAAGAGGTAAACATAACTGGTTTAAAAGTTTTTGCAGATTACTTTTCATGACACTTTGGACCTCTAGGTTAAGTCTCAAACAAAAATGCAGAGTTTTGTTCTTTGTTTTAACTATAATTTCTGGATCAATTTTAAACATTATGAATAGTTTGTAAAGCCAATAAAACAAGTTTAGAAAATGAGAATTTGACAGATGGGAACCACAGTTAACTAAGAGGGGGAAATGTTGATGCTACATTGGAAACCAAGACAGAGGAGGATCCTGTCCTAATAGAGCTAACATTCTAGTAGGGCAGTGATTTTCAACTGGTATGCTGTAAGAATTTTTAAAACATGCAATATTTATTTTTTAAAGATTTTTATTTATTTTTAGAGAGAGGGGAAGGGAGGCAGAAAGACAGGGAAAGAAACACTGATGCAAGAGGAAACCATCAGTCGGTTACCTCTGGTAGGCACCCAGGCCAGGGAACCAACCTGCAACCCAGGCATGTGCCCTGACTGGGAATCAAACCAGTGACCTTTCACTCTTCGGGACAACACTCAACCAACTGAGCCACACCATTCAGGGTGCAACTCCTGACTATTTAGTCAGGTGCACTGACCTCTTTTCCCTTAGACCTTCAAATTAAAAAAAAGTGATAACAGGCAATATAACAATAGTTATCCAGTGTGAATGAATCAAAATGATAGCTTTTTTTGGGGGGGGGGGTTAGATTGGCAAAAAAATAATTTTTTGGTGTGCCAGAGAATTTAAGTAATTAGTTCGTGTGCACCACGAGATCAAAAAGGTTGATGATCACTGAGGTAGGGCAATAGATAATAAGCAAACGCACAGTAAGATGACTTCAGATAAAGGGCTACAGAGAAAGTAGAACAGGGTAATACTGAGAGAGCATACTTGGCAGAAGAGCTTCAATTGATAAAAGCTACAGAAACTGTCCAGAAGAAGGAAGACCACCCCCCACCTGATTTATGGCTTAAAACCAACATGGCAACTAATTTCACCCAATGGCAACCGCTGGCCTAATTATACACTTACTGTAATATATTAGCATGCTAAACCATGATGCCATGGCCAGAAACAGAAAGCACTTATCAGGACACAAAATGGCCAACAAAGCTCCTGTGAGAAATTTCCACCCCTTTTTCAAGAGGATCCTGACTATTCCACCCCTGACTAAATACCCTAACCCCTCAATTAAATGAACCCCCCAAAAGGTAGCACATTCTGCTAAGGGGGGTTGCTCGGTCTGTGGAGTAGCTCATTTTCTGTCTCACTGCTTCACTAATAAACTCACTTTCCCTTTAAACTCTACAATGGCTTGCACTTGAATTCTTTCCTATGGCAAGCCAAGAACACACATTGGGTCATGGACTCTTGGGTCTTCACATCCCCTGGAATATCTGCATCGATATAATATTGGTAATGATGTTTAGAAGGGGCAACATTAGATACTATGGTCAGGGAAGCCCTATTTTAGGAGGTGTTATTTGAGACCTGAATGACAACAATGCGAGTGAGCTCTGAGAAGATCCAGAAATAAGTTTCCAGGTTGAGGGACTAGAGAGTACATTTCTATATGGATGTCACTAGGAATCTCAATTTCAATATACAGGTGCTCCTCAACTTATGATGGAGTCACATCATGATAAACCCGTAGTAAGTTGAAAATGCATTTAATGTTACCCTGCAGTGTATCAGGTGTTCACCCTCGTGATCCCGTGGCTGACTGGGAGCTATAGCTTGCTGCCACTGCCCAGCAACATGAGGAAGTACAGTACCACATATATTGCTGGCCTGGGGAAAAAAAAAATCAAAATTCAAAATTTGAAGTACAATTTCTACTAAATGCACATTGCTTTCACACCATTATAAAGTTGAAAAAGCATAACTCGAACCATCATTAGGGACCATGTGTATCCCAAACTGACAACCTCTTCCCTACAATTAATTACATTTCTACCTCCAATATCTTAATTTTTCTCAAGCCCTATTTATCCGATCAGTTGCCAAGCTAATTTCACAAGGCTTTTAGAATCCGCTGAATGGTGGCAGAATGTGTTACTAAAAAAACTCTTAAGAAAATGAAAAGGCAAAGTTAAAAAAAGAAATATCTGCAAAATGTTTATGTCTGCTATAGCTACTCTCATGACTCAGTAAGTCAAACATCAATTTTTAAACATAGGGCAAGAGATCTGAGCACTTCAAGGAAGACAAACAAATGGCAAAAATAATCATTTGGAAAGATACTCAACATCATTAATCTTTAGAAAAAATGCAAATTAAAACCATGAGATAGACATGAGGAAAGAAAAAAAAGATCGATGAAATAGAATTGAGTCCAGGAATAAACTCTGGAATTTATAGGCAACTGATTTTTTAATAAGGGTGCCAAGAACATTAAATGGGGAAAATAGCCTCTTCAACAAATAGTGCTATAACTGGATATCCAAATGAAAAAATGTGGTTGGACTCTTACCTCACACCATATACAAAAATTAACTGAAAATGGATCAAAACCACATACGTATGAACTAAAATCATAAAACTCTTAGAAGAGCATACAAGTGTAAATCTTTATAACCCTGAATGGTCATAAAGAAAACAGAATGGTTTCTTAAGAGAAGACATTAAAACCACGAGCACCAACAATAAAATAAATTAGACATCATCAAAATAAAAACTTTGTGCTTCAAAGGACATAATCAAAAAAGCGAAAGACAATCCAGAGAATTGGAGAAAACTTACAAATCATATATCTGATAGGGGACTTGTATCATTTAACTCTGTAATAAAAAGATGAGCTCTGGCTGGAGTGACTCAGTGGGATGAAAGGTTGCAGGCTCTGTTCCCTGTCAGAGCTGCGGGTTCAGCCCTCCGTCAGGGTGGGTGCAAAGAGGCAACTGATTGACGTTTCTCTCCCCCTCTCTAAAATTAGTAAGTGTACCCTGGCTGGTGTGGTTCAGTGGATAGAGTGCTGCCTGTGAACCAAGGGGTCGCTGGTTTGTTTCCAGTCAGGGCACATGCCTGGGTTGCAGGCCAGATCCCCCGTAGGGGGCGCTTGACACACATTGATGTTTCTCTCCCTTTCTCCCTCCCTTCCCCTCTCTGAAAATAAATAGAACATTTTAAAAAATAAATAAAATAAACATGTCCTCAGATGATGATTAAAAAAAGAGGAATAACCTGATTTAAAAATGGGAAGAGAACATGAATACAGTTCTCCAAAGAAGATATACAAATGGCATTTAATACGTACATGAAATGATACTCAACATTACTGGTCATCAGAGAAAAGCAAATCAAACCACAAGACCTGTAAGAAGGGTTATATCAAAAGGACATGGAATAACAAGTGGTGGCAATGATGTAGAGAAAAAGGAATCCTTGTGGACTGCTGGTGGGAATGCATATTGGTACAGCCACTATGTAAAACAGTATAAAGGTTCCTCAAAAATTTAAAAATAGAACTACCATGTGATCTAGCAATTTTAATTCTGGGTATTTATCCAAAGAAAATGAAAACACTGATCTGAACAGCTATATGCATTCCTACATTCACTGCAGCATTCATTTACAGTAGCCAAGATTTGTTAATAATTTAAATATGCCCATCAATGAATGTGTAAAGAAGGTATGATGTGATAAACACATTCACAAAATGGCACATAACTCACACACCAAAAAAAAAAAGGAAAAAGAAAAAGAAATCTTGCCATTTGCAAACATGGATTGGCCTGGAGGGAATTATGCTAAGTGAAATAAATCAGACAGAGAAAAATACTGTATGATTTCACTCATATATGGAATCTGAAAACAACAACAACAAAAATGAACAAAACTCTTATACAGATAACAGACTGGTGGTTGTCAGAGGGATGGGGGTGTTGGGGCTTAGGCAAAATTGGTGAAGGAGAACAAGAGGTACAAACTTTCAGATATAAAAATAAGTAAGTCATGGGGATATTATACTCAACATGGTTACTATAATCAATATATTGCAAATTTGAAAGTTGCTAATTAAAAGGTCCTCCACACACACACACACACACACACACGCACATTTTGTAACTTTGTTTTGAAACAGATGGTAAGACATAGTGATCATTTTGCAACATATAAAAATGTCAAATACTTATGCTGTACACCTGAAACTAATATAATATTGTATGTCAATTATACTTCAATTAAAAAATGAGAAACTACTTACCACCCACTAGGATGGCTAGATACAGAAAGTGCTGATGAGGACGTGGAGAAGCTGGAGCCTTCATACACTACTGGTGGGAATATCAAATTGTGTAGCCACACTAGGAAAGAGTATGGCAATTCCTTAAAAGAGGCTAAACATAGTTACCACTATGCTCCAGCAATTCCACTCCTAGGTATATACCCAAGAGAAGTGAAAAGATATTTATATACAAAAAACTTGCACAAAAATGTTCATAGCAGCGTAATTCCTAATACCCCAAAATCAGGGAAAAAAATCCCAATGTCTGTTAACTGATGAATGAATATGTTGTATATCCATAATAAAGTATTACTGGGCAATAAAAAAAAATTAAAGTACTGATGCATGATACAACATACATGAACCCTGAAAACAGAAATGAAAGAGGCCAGTCACAAAGGACTTCACACATACTGTATGATTCTATTCATGAAATGTCCAGAATAGACAAATCTATAGAGATAGTGGATTAGTGGTTTCGTAGGGCTGAGGCTGTATGGGTGGGGTGCAGAGCTTTTTGGAGGGAGAGGGGTGATGAAAAAGTTTAAAATTAATTGTGGTGATCACTGAGTAACTCAATATATATAAAGCCATTGTACACTTAAAAATGGATGAATTGTATGGCATGTGAATTGTGTCTCAATAAAGTGTTTTAAAAAACAGTAAAATACCATTACAAACACAATAAAATAGCTAACATTAAGAAGACTGGTAATACCAGGCACCGGAGAGGATGTGGAGAAGCGGCAATGCTCAAACAATACTGATGAGAATGCTGTAAAATGGTAGGTAGTTTGGCAGTTTCTTAAAACATTAAACATACACATGATTCAACCCAGTGATTCCACACAAGAGAAACAAAAGTATTTTTATTTGTAAAAGTCACAAAGATTTGTATGGAATATTCAAAGAAGCATTATAAATAACTTAAAATTGGACACAATCCAAATGTCCTTTGGCTGGTGAACAGATAAATAAAATACAGAATACTATCAATGATAAAAAAGAATGAACTAGTGATGATACGCAACAATAGTGGTGGCCTGCAAAACATAATGCCACACACAAGAGTACATATTGCATGATTCCATTTGTATGATATTTCTAGAAAAGGCAAAACTAGCACTGTTAGAGAAAGCACTTTGGTAGTTTCCTGGAACTGGGACTGAGAGCAGAAACTGGCTACAAAGACATGGGAATTTTTTTTTAGGCGATGGAAGTGTAATAAAAATAGATTTCAGTGATCTTTTCTGCATGATCATATAGAATTACTAAAACTCAAGCTGTACCCATAAAACATGAATTTTATCAAATATAAATTATACCTCAACAAAGTTGTTTTTAAAATTTATCAAACTGAACACTTAAGATTAGTGAATTAGTAGTATTTTAAATACTACTGAGCTGATTTTAAATATACACTTAAATTTGCACCTTATTACATGTAAATTATATCTTAACAAACCAATTCTTTAATAAAGACTACTGTTTATTCCAAAAACAAGTCATATACTGACATCAGATAAAAACCCCCTATTTACTCAAGAAACATTTAACTCAATGCATAAATTTTAGTTTCCAACAGCACAGCCATCATCTTCACAGAGAACAAACTTAGCTATGTCTAAAAGTAAGTAAATACAAGTCAAAACTCAAATATATTTGGGCTAATTGTGCAAAGTTTTAGCTCAGAAGTTATTACTAACAATTTAAACAAAAATATATAGACTCAACATATAGTTAACTGGGAAACTAATGTTTCAATTATTCTTTACATTGGAGAATAAAAATTTTTTAAATAAATCATTATTTATTTGCAGTAAACTGAACTTGTTTATTAAGTCAATAGGTGTAATGCAAAAAAAAAAAAAAAAAAAGAAAGCAATGAACTGACAAATCAAGCTCCTTAAATTAAGAAAAAGACCAAGTACAAGTTTCCTGGGCTTACTTTTTAATGGAACATTCTGACAAGTCCTATACTGAGGACATTTTGAAACTTCTACCTAACTCATGCTTTAGGTTTCAGATAGGTAACTGGGTTCCAAAGAAGCCATTGCCATTCTTATTAACTTTAAAACTACCTACCTTATTTTTAAAATGTACCATGACAGATAAATTTGGAAAGAATGGAAGCAAAATTCCCTTAATTGAAAAAAATTTCAAGTAAAAATCAAATGAAATAAGTAAAAATTTCAAAGAGAAGTAGGCTTAACAACTAACACATAAATCATCTGCCCTCACAGACAACAACACCTTTTTAGATGTAAACTTTCAGAGAAAGCAGTTTTGAACATACCTGGCAAAGACTGTGTATATTTAAAACACACTTACAATAAAAAAAATTTAGTTTATAAGTTCCTATTCTCAACCCATGATTCTAGGCCTTAAAATTGCCTTGAAACAAACAAACAAACAAAAAGACAACATGGAAAATGTAGCTGGAAAAATACTGCTGCATTTATAATCTATTAAACATCTGTATCCTAAAATATTTAAACAAAGTTTAGCAAATATTTATTTACAAATATCATCAGCCTGACTCTTCTTAAACATCTGGATTCCAGTG